ACAGCCCTGGGTTGATTTAAAGATCAGGTTTACCCGACTGCCTTGAATTCTGTTTTGTGATGTCAAGGTCATCTTAAACCTGTGATTTAGGGGGAAATCTCACAAACGACATGTTTGCCTGTGAGGAAGCAGTGAGCATGGAGTGGTGCAAGAGGTTCCTACCTTCTTTGTGCAACAGGGAATCAAGACCTTTTTCATTTGGATTTCCCTCTCGCATTATGTGACCAACATACAACCACAGCTGGTTTTGCCATAGATTGAGGAATTACCCTGCTTCCTTCTGCAGGTAAATTTTTGGCATAGACCTTCCTTATTGCATGCCAGGAAGAGTTTACTCACTGTGAGAGGAAGCCTTGTAAACAAAAGAGTAAAAGAGGAAGCTGGAAGATTGGTTACCTTAATTTTCCTGTCTTGCATCATGACCAGCTGCTACACAATGCATCCAGAAGTCCTATTTGTTGTTGTTTCTAGACTGCTGTGCTGCTCCTCACCTACTTCAGCAGCCTACATACATCTCATGTATTGCAGAAGTTGCTGTTATCTCTTCTCTGTCCCATGCAATACAGCAGAGAGGTGAGAGTTTTTGCATTAATAGATATTTGGGGCTGAAAAACCCACACCCGTCTGCCAGGTTTGGATGTTTTCCACCTCCAGACCTTTTTAAACATTTTTATTATTCCTGACTCCCACTGACTAAAAACCCTTGTGGTCACTCCTAGACTGGTGGAGGAAGATAACTGCAAGGACAAATTTGAGCTGACAACTTTCACCCAGGAGTCCTGCAGGACTCAAAGGTGAAACAGCTGGACTGCAGACTGTGGGGTGTGGGATATACAAACTGCTCTTGAGTCTGCCCCTACACCAGGGATGCACAAAGTGGGCTTATTGGCTATTAATTTTCCAAAAAGCCCCAGAGGAATCCCAGAAAACTGCAAATCAGTGAAGCTGACATTCCTACCATGCAATACTGAGACAGGTATGGATACGCATAGTGCACAAGAGAACAGTAAATATGACATTTGGGACAGGATATACTACACTACTTGGTTATACTAGAGTTAGAGTTTACTGAAGAACCAGAGAATATACAGACAAGAGGGAGCCAAAATAGCATCATGTCATTGGATCTTCAAAAGAATCTCAGCTGAGTCTCACAGTAAAGCTACCAAAGAAGTTAAGCTATTACATTATAGAGAAGTCCTCACATAAATATGCAACTGGTTAAAAGATAAGAAACAAGAGATAGGAATCAGTGAATAGTTTTTGCCGTTAAGTGGATTCAGTCATGAGAGGGTTTGCCTAGGGCCTGTGCCATTTAATGTAGCCATCAGCAATTTGGGAAATGGGGTTAGCTGTGAAATAATTAAGTTTGCTGATGTACTAAGTTATTCATATTAACTTAGTTATTCATATTCATAACTAAGATTTCTGATGTACTAAATTATTCAGGATACCAGAGAGGAGGTCTGGCTGCAAAGAACTATTAAAGGACTTGAAAATACTGAGTGACAAGGCGATAAAATGCCAGATTAAAATCAGTGCTGAAAATATGCAAAAATAGAGAGTAAGGACAGAACCAATGTGATGCATAAACCGCAGCAACTTTCTGAGACAATGCTGTCTTTTCTTTTGATTTTTCCCCTTTCTAATTTTAACTACTAGATAGTAGATAATATCTTTTCACTCCCGTGCACAAGCGTCTATTAACTCTCTTTCTCAGGCTGTGTAGCTGGAAAAAATTGCACTGACCTTCAGTAAAAATCTCTGTTTCTGCTATGTTTCTCTTTGGAAATATTTAGGGTAGCCATCAAAATTAATTTCACACTTTAATTTAGATTAGCTGGAAATGTCTTCCTCATTTGGATATAACAAGGAATGACATAGAAGAGGAGATCCAGGACTCACATGGATGTGAGAGAAGAAATGACAGGTTTTCATGTTAAAGTGATTCACCTCATTTGTGTGGTATAAAGCTGAGGGGAAAAAATGTGGTCTTGCGTTGGCTGATTTTTATGATCTTCTTCTCTAACACTATTATCACATTAACAGAAAAAATTAAGGAATGATTAGTTCAGCATTTTATCTTAAGCACCCTCTAGAAATGGGTTTCACAGGCTTACACTGGGTAGGGAAAACTCAGGATGAGACCAATATGAAAAATAAATTATTTTAATTCCTTTGGGTGTCTAGGTAACTATGGCAGCACTGGTGGATCTCTGCAATCTCTGGTGTCAGATTTAACATGAACAGTTTAAAGATGCTTTAAAAATCTACAGTTAGAAATAAGGATACTCCAAAATAATAATAATTAAAAAAAAAAAAGCAACAACAACAAAAAAAAAAAACCACACACACCAAAAAAAAAAAAAAAAAACAAAAAAAAAAACGAAAAGCCACAAACAACAAATAAACAAATCCAAACCACCAAACTACTGAAATCAGAGTGTACAAACACATTTTGCCAGCAGTGCCAGCTGCTACTCCATCTCCCAGCTGATCATTCCCTCCCCATTTCTCTGTGTCTGCTACTCAGCACTAGGATGAGAAAAACCTGGGAAATTGCATGACTGATCAATAACATCTCCCCAAAACCCTTGCTGTTTAGAGCCATATTTAATGGGGTAATAGCAGGAATGCACAGGACAGCACAGCACATAAAATGGCATAGGCTTTGGTACACACAACTAAGACAGGATGGATGGGTAAATGTTATTCTTGCTAGATGCATAGAAATGCCCTTAATTGTTTTAATCTTCACTGTTAGGTTTTTAATTTTTTCTTCTCTTCTCTTCTCTTCTCTTCTCTTCTCTTCTCTTCTCTTCTCTTCTCTTCTCTTCTCTTCTCTTCTCTTCTCTTCTCTTCTCTTCTCTTCTCTTCTCTTCTCTTCTCTTCTCTTCTCTTCTCTTCTCTTCTCTTCTCTTCTCTTCTCTTCTCTTCTCTTCTCTTCTCTTCTCTTCTCTTCTCTTCTCTTCTCTTCTCTTCTCTTCTCTTCTCCTCTCGTCTCCTCTCGTCTCCTCTCGTCTTCTCTCGTCTCCTCTCGTCTCCTCTCGTCTCCTCTCGTCTCCTCTCGTCTCTTTTCTCCTTTTCTTTTTTTTTTTTTTTTTTCCCTCTTAATAGAAGTTGTTGCAGCTGGCTTTGCTTCCCTGGAGAGCAGCTAGTGTCTTTTAAGTAATACCTCATGGAAGAGCAAGTGCACAGGACACATTGCTTATGTCAAATACATACTGAGGCTTCTCATACTTAGTCCTGGAATGGGAGAAATCCCACAGTGTTACTCCACTTGCAACTCACATGCATATGCATGTCTGTGATGAGTACAAACAAGAACAGCTGTTTCCTTCAAAATCAGTTCAAGTCTTCAGGATTACTGAGTTACTTTGTTATGACTGTAAAATGAGGATATTAATATCTTACACCAGAGGAGACATCTGAGCCCATGGAAGTAGGAAGGGCTACAGCAATTGCAGCTAAACTCATTGGGCTTATTGCAACTGAACTTTGGGCTCAGTGGGGTGCTATTTCTGGAATTTGCTGATTCAGCCAAAGTTCAGAGGGCAGTTGGAGGTCCCATGTTGTCAGGAACCCTAAGGAAAATCTGTCCCATTCCCAGTCAACCCAATCCCCAGACAATTTGCTTGGTAAACCCCTGAGGACCTGAGAATTTGGAAGCCCCACCAACTCTCCTCCCCAGGACCAAGCCCAAATCTGAGCTTCTGGGACTGGTTACAGCCCAAGCAGCCCCAGACCTCCAGCTTGTACCACTCACAGAGAGACCAGCAGACAGGCTGAACTTGATCTAGTCTCTGTAACTTTGGCTTGCAGAAAAATTTGAAAGTGTCTTCTATTTTAAATCAGAGTAACAATAAATTTCAAATGATCAACAACACCTTATAAGCAAAATGATATTTCCTCATCCAGATACAAACAGAACTTGAAGAGCTCAGGAATTTTAGACCCCTCTACCACATTTCTTCAAAAATGTTATAAAGGTTCATCAGATGATCCTTGAGGTCCCTTCCAACCTGGTATTCTATGATTCTATGTCTATCCGTTCTCAAATCTCGGACAGGCAGGAGTAAATAAAATATGGTTTTATATATCTGGGCAGGATCATCTTTTGTGGCAACATAAAGCAAGATTAGCATTCTACTTTTCACACAGATTCTGGTGAATAAATATGCAAACACAATCTTTTTATTATTATTATTTTTATTTAATATTGAAATTTCAAAAAGTTTCCATTGAGAAATCCAAAGTTTTAAATAATATTCCAGTACAAAAATATAGACCTTTAGATAAAAACTTCCATATTACTAACTCTAAATAAATAAAACTACATCAGACACATTTAAATGATTCAGTAGAGAAAAATACAGAACTTCTCAAAATCAGTGAGTTGAAGTTAAGTCAGTGCAATACAGTTAGTCACATTTCCTGGAGTTGCTGGTAACTTTTAACTAAGTAGCCTGGTCTCTTAGTAACTTCAGTGCATAACAATAATTACCAGCAATTAATCATCAATCCCCTAGTTCAGAAAAGTGCTTCAGCATTTGCTTGTCTTTAAGCATGTCTAATTGCTTGATTTGGATTTAGATATGCTTAGAAGCAAGATGATATGAATATGTTTTCCTTAGTACAGAAATTTCTCCATATTGGTGCTTGCATCTCCATGCCAAATAGATGAATGATGAGACTAATCTTATAACATCCCTCTCTCAAGACAGCACCAGATGGAAAACTGAGTACCGTACCATGTCATTTCAGAATTTCCATATGGAAACTGAGTAAACATTGCCTCATTCTGTATTTTCAGGTCAACAAACATGTAACAGATAGACAAGATTTTCAGACAAAGTAATTTCTTATATAGTAATAGGAGATATAAATACTTTGGTGTTTCTTTATAAATAATTATTTAAAATACTTAAATATTAATAAATAAATGTATAAAACCTCAATAAAAATATTGAAATAAAAAAATGTGCATCATAAAAAAAGTCGCACACTAACAGTACAAAAAGTCATATGATGTCATTAGCATTTGCACCTCCTCTGAGACTGGCTCCTTTTCCTTTTGAGAGAAGCTGAAGTCTCCACCAGTTTTTGCAAGACGCTGAACAGCTCGTTCACAGCTTTGCGTTGAATTTTCAAGTCAGTCATCTGTTAAAAGTAAGAAACAACCGGAACGAAGGTTATGTCAGGAGCTGTAGTTATTTACTGATCACATCCTGCAGGCTAGACTGTTACCAGGGTAAACCAGAAGGACATCTGCAGTTTCCAATGACTCTGCTGCCTAATTCCTACAACAAAAGCCACTTTGTCACAGACTTTTGTTTTCCACTTTCTGTGCTACTTTGAAACATGCCACTGACCAGCCATATTATGTGAAACAGAGCTACTCTGTCGTTACTGCAGTGATATATGAGTTATCCACAAGCAGCTGGCTCCACCGGGCTATGGGCGGTGGGACCTCTGCAGAGGTCGGTGGTTCGTGCCATTGGCACTCGCTCGATCAGCGAGGTGCCTCCAAAGCCCACGGAGGCATGCTGTAGACAGGCACAACTTTTCCACCCCATTTCTAAACCGCAAGCAGCTGTGTCAGTGGCAGCTCTGGTGGGCAGACGAAGCGGCAGCGCTGCTGCCACCTCTGTGCCAGATTCTGGCAAGACTCAGGGAGGCCGGCCCCCACACTGACACCCCACACCACAGACCTTCAGCAGCCCCTGCAGCTGGAAACATTAGGTTTTCCAGTGTGAACTGAGCCAGACGGGGGTTACCAGACGAGTTACTAAAACATTATTGGCTTGAGTCACACTGAAATCTCAACTGGAAGATATAGTGTCATGAGCCCTGGAGGCAGAGGAAGAGCCTTACCTGAAGGTTTGTCAGGTCCATGAGGTCTTTCATCTTCTTCAAGCCATCAGGAAGGCTCTTTTTCAGAGTATAGAGCTCCTCAGATATGTGCCTGACATGGGCCTTTGACTTGTCAGTGTTTTCAAGCATTTCCAAGTACATGGAAACAATCTGGCTCAGGATGATCCTTTTTTCATTTCTCTGTTGGAAAATAGTCAGAAAGAAAGGTCTGTGAGTGCCCATCAGGGGGAAAATGAATGAAGCTAAAATGCAGCACTCAGTTCTTACTGCCGCTTGAAACAGGATGGTAAAGAAGATGTTGCAACTCAGCTCCTGGGCTTGGATGTACCTCAGGACCAGTTCATGGTGCAGTATAAAGCACCTTGATGCTTATGGGAAGCATTTTTATGGGGTTTATTTTCTCATTTCCAAGCTACCAAAGTGGCCTCTGCTCATGTTCATTCTACCCCAGCTGGTTATGCTGACCCTGGGAGCTGCTTTGTTCCAAAAGTGCCCCACCAAGTGCCTGAGATGCTTTGTCATATCTGGTTCTGACTCACCTCTGTCCAATTTATCAGTTTCTCTGTAAAAATAGGTCCACCATCAGCTACATCTGAATGACTTGAGTTCTGCAACAAAGAACATGTCTGTCATACAAACAATATTTATCACAAGGCAAATTTCTGTTCTCTGTTCAAATGAGCAATAAAAACCAGAAGGTTGTGATTTTTGCACCACTGGTCTATAGCTATTACTATGCTTTCACTTCTCTAAGCACCAGATGTCATTGAATGACTGCCTAGTACCAGAAACGGCATGAGTCTGCTTTTCAGTGTCTTCTCCTGCTATAACTTATATGAATAGAGACACTTAGTACTATATATTTTATCAAATGCTCCTTGCAAGTTTAACAGCTGAAAATTAAAGTTCATAAGCATAGCAACTAGTTACAAAATTGTCATATCTAATTTGGCATGTATTCTGGTAAGTCAAAGTCCACCAGTATGTAGTCTGTGGCCTTGAATTTATCCAGTCTTAGTAAAAACTTATATGTAACAAGAACAAATTAACTTTACTATAAAACTACAGTTTGTAGAACTGGAGAATAGCCCAGTAGCCCACAGCCAGGCATGGGGACATAGAAGGTTAGTGGGCTACTGAGCGTCTTGCAGTTTAAACATCAGATGTTAGCCACACACTGTGACAGATTCTAGGAAACAAAGAGCAATACAATTCTCCTACAAAGGAAAGGTAAACTGAATCATTTCCTTTTCTGTGTGTGTCTTTTCTTTCTTTCTTTTTGTATACAACAGTCACTATTTCCTTTTTTGTCTGCTTGGTAATTTAAATACAGTGAGTGCAAAGGGAAAACTTGCAGGCTGACAGAAACCTCGTAGGCTGATTGGCTCCCCCTGCTAGGCACGTTGTCAAACCTTGTTTTGCTGTTCTTCGGAAAGTTGGGGAGCACCTGCTGTGGATCAGAGTTTTTAATGTCTGTGAAAGAAGCTCACGATGGCTCAGGATGTCTTTAACAGAGTTACATATATTCTAGCAAGAATCTCTCTGATCTATGCTAATAACAAATTTAAGAAATAATGAAAGTTTTACAGCCAGTTTCCTATCAATCTGAAAATGCTGAAGTGTCATACTAGGCTTCTTTGTGTGATACTTCAGGGTGATTCTTTGACTACTAAATTTCAACTTTCATATGCACAAAATTCTGACAAAATCAGAGCTGAAAATAGGAGCAGACTCTTGACGTTGCCTTCATGCATTTAAGGAAATAAAACAAAAATACCTTGAGAATAAAATCTGTTAATTAGAAGTGACTAATGTAGATCTATCTAACCCCAGCTAAAGTCAACAGTGAACTACTTTAATGCCTCCTACATGATAATAGGCAAATTAACATTACAATTATTAAGTTATCAAAATTCTGTCTGAAAAGAAGTAAAATCACACCAGATAATGTTCCCATGCTGGATCATAGTCACAGATATGGAAGCAGAATAGCTGGAGGATGCAAAAGAATAAGCAATAGGAACCACCATCAGCCAACACACTACTACTAAGTACCAGATGCATTTGTTAAAGCAGAAGTTCTCCATTTTTTTTATATTACTAACACTAAATCCTCCATTAACATTACTAACCTAAAACTAAAAAAAGTCAGTAAATTACATCTTACATCTGAATAGAATTGAATTAATATTTATTCATTCATCAAAAATCGCATTAAGATTTCTTGTTATAAAGCATTCCATGTAATCAAGGCCTGAATGGAGCTAGGAGAAGCTCTTGTGAAAGGAAGAGTGTCCCTGAAATAAATGCAAACTACTACATTAACTATGACTATTGAAAAACTGATTCATGTTAGTGAAAGAGGTTAGCAAAACCAAAGAATTTGTCCATATTCTTGTTTAAAAAAAGGGATAACAAAAAAATTTCTTCCATGGTTACCCTCCATTGGTACACATTGATTATGGCAAGCAGTGCTCAAGTCTGGATTAAATCTAAAACACAGGCAGAAGAAGTGCAGTAGAAGATCATACTTACAAAATCAGCTTTCAGTTGGTCTATATCTTTTTGAAGTTGAGCAAGAATTAAGGTATGTCCAAAACGTCCAAAATAAATCATGATGACAGACAGAACAAACAAGCTGTAAGTCTGGCAAGTCATTTTTTTGGCAATGGTTCAGTTAAAATGATCAGATAAGTTCTGTGAGATGTCAGTTCTAAAAGCAATGAGCTTCAACTTCTAATAGATATATCTTCTATTAGAAGAAAGTAGACGAATGAACTTCAGCTGCCTGTCAGTGGTATTTATACCTGGTCTTGAAATTTTTTATTTCGTCATCACAGGCTGTGTATATTTAGACAAGATAGTGTTAGATAAGAACCCTTCATTTCTGGCTGATCAAGGGAATCCCTCGAAAGCATCTTTCTTAAACCATGGTCCTGGAAAAATTTTCAGTGGTTCGTCAATGGGTAACATTTACGTGGCAGATTCTGAAGTTTCTTTTACACGTGGCTGGGGAAAAGGGGGAAATTATGATACTGATTGAGGAGTACACATTGTGGCTCAAGAATATTCTTACATGCTATCTGAAAAAAAAAATCATATCGTGTGGTTAAAGGGTCAGTGTAACACTCAGCTCATTTCTGGTATTTTAAAGTAACCACTGAGAATGCCATGGCATTTTTCAGAGTCACTTAGAGATCTAAACATTCTCTCTATTGCTGTCCTTTTGTGAAACGCTATTTGCATGCTTTCCATAGTCTAAAGTGCATTTCAACTGCTTTCTTACTCTTCACCTCCAGAATCAAAATAGATGCAGGGAAAATTAGGTTTCTGCATGGATGCAATGATGCATCATATTAGATTCCTATATGGCTGTCTACTATCTGCAAGAGTGGTGTATTTAGTACTCAATACACTCATTTCTGCTTGGCAATAATAAAGTTCACCACTTGCCCATTCATTTGCACTTATGTGTGTAGAATATGAAAACAGAAAGGCATGTATGAAGAAGAGCACAGTTGAAGAAGACTGACAGGATGGTCTCCAAGTACATACAGACCTCTGAAAAAAACTGTATTGAGAGTTAGCTGGGGAAAAGGTTTTTGTATAGGAACTGAAATCTACATTGATGTACATCATAGGAAAAGAGCTTACTGTGAAAAGTCTTATGAAGAAATCAGAGTAATTTTAGGCTGCAGTATATGAATGCAGGGTAGGCAGGAGCCTACAAGAGAAAGAAAGGAGCCCATAGGGAAAAAGAAAAGAGAGATGATCAGGAAGAGGGCTCAGTTCATACAGGCTACTGTGGAGGATGTCTGTAGCTCATCAGAAACAAATGAGAATTAAACTGGTCCCCAACAGGTATGATTTGAGCTCTTCAGCAGAGCCCCAGATGGTTCTTTGTGTGTTCCTTGCAAGAAGCTGCCCCATTCCCCAGCAGCACCTCCTATCTCTGCAAATGACCACTAGCATCATCAAATGTTTGTTGTCTGCAGCTTGAAAGACGACCTCCATCTGTGGAGTAGATCTAGCCTACTACTACCATTGCAAACAGGGAATTGCCATTTTGCAGAGACAAGAACCAAATTTCACCAGCAACTACTGGCCCAAAAGATGCATGCTAAAACTCCCTGGGAATAGCAGCATAGACAGGTGGCAAACATCTCACAACAGGTGCAGTACTGCACAAAAATCAGGGGTGTAATCTGCTTGGGGTAGTAGTGCTATGCAGTGTCCATCTTAGTTTCAGTTTAGGAAATTAAAACTGGTCAAGCAATAACTTGATTGCTGGAAGTGTTGACATGGAGGTGAGGTGATAATGCTATTCAAGGATGCTTCAAAGCGCTGTAAAAAAATGCAAAGTTGTAATGCCTGTCCATGGCAGAGTGGTTGGACTAGACAATCTTCAAAAGTCCCTTCCAGCCCAACCCATTCTGATTCTATGATTCTATGCTAGAAGTTAGAATCAGAGAATCAGAGAATCATTTAGGTTGGAAAAGACCCTTAAGACCATCAAGTCCAACCATTAACCTAACACTAAGTCCACCACTAAAACATGTTCCTTAGTATCACATCTACACGTCTTTTAAACACCTCCATGGATAGTGACAAAATGGAGACCCCATCAGTCTTCAAAGTGGACTCACAAATGTCACCACACTGAACAAACCTATTGGTAATGTTCAAACATCTGGATTGCTTTGCAAGGCAAGCAGTCAAATGGTGTGTTGTGGCACAGCTAAATTTAGTTTAATACATACGGGAAAAACAGACATATTGTACAAGGTGAGAGATGCATGTCAACTGACCATGATCTTATGGGGCAATTCTTAGGCAAAGTGTTGGGAGACCTCAAATGGCAGAAGGAAAATTATTCCTGTCATATACAGCACTATGGTTTCAGAAACATACAACTGGAAAAGGGACTGGGTCATCAAGCCTAATTTTTGATATTACAGGTCCTAATTTGAGCAGTGCTTTTCTCTTGAGTTCCTAAAGAGTGTACAAAGAAGACCTGCAAGTAAGGAGTTTGGGAGAGATTGTTCACTCAAACAGCTCATTCTTCTTAACATATTGAGGACAAATCACAACTACTGAACACAACTAATTGATGTAATTTTCCAGCCAGGCAGAAGACGTAATTCTAGGAGCTGAAAGATTAAGTCAGTAACACTGCCCTCCTCTGCAGAGACCTATTCATCCAGAGTGACTGCACTGGGTTAGACTGCCTTGTTAAAACTCAATCATCTCATCCGCAGCAGTCTGTACCTTTCAGGTGACCTCTGTTTGGTCTCCCATTACTACTAAACTGTTAAGAATAACAGGAGGACGAAATATCAGAAAGAAAGGATTTTTCAAACTCATATTTTGTAGATACTGTTTAAAGTTTGGGGGGGTTATATGGCTAATTTTATCACTAGATCTCCTCACCTTTTGGAGGAGGCCACTGTCAAGTATCTGATTTTGCAGGTAAGAAAATGGAAGCACAGAGCAATGGGATGATTCATGAACATTCAGCATATAGGAAAGGCAAATCTAGGAACACAAACAAGGTCTCCTGGTCCCATTGTGGTCCTTTGCCCACTAAGCAGCACTACAAGTATTATATCATAAACTGGGGCAAGAAATTAGGCAAAGAGCAAAGAAAAAGAAAGCCATGACATCTGGATCTGTCATGCCATCTTCTGAGTGCAGTTCTGACTTCCAGATACCCTCTCATGCCTGTGGATGTTAGTTTCAGGCCTTCTACACATCTCCGTATTCAAATCTTCACACAAAGTATTGAAAGTTCTGTAGTAAATCATCAGCTGGATAGAAATGTATTCTAATACAGAAATATAGGATCCCTTTTCCAAATCTTTTACATTTTAATAAATGGTACCCTGTTAATGTTGACATGTTCATCTCATAATGTTCTCTTCTATTGACACACACCATCACATCTCTCCAAATAATTTTGAAACTGAGCAACAGCCTACAATAGATGGTTAGAACATGAGGGTCCTTGAGTCCCAGGGGTCCTGTGCCCCTCCCAGCCCTGTTCTGATTCCCATTCCACCCAAAAGTGATGAAACAGATCAACATTGTGCAGTGTATGTCTTGCTGCCCAAGCAACATGAACAGTCAGATTGTGAGGAAAGCTCAGGTTCAGATGGCTCCTCTGCATTGCCTTTACTGAGCATCAACAGGTACAAACAAGATAATGGGTATCCTGCAAATATCTACCCTTTACTAGACAGAGCCAAGGGCATAAGATCATCTAAGTTTTTATCCTTGTTCTTTAGTAGATATCTGTTGAGTGCATACTGGAGGGGATTGAACACTCAGCACTAACATAAATCCTTTGCCTGAGCACTAGCCCTAATCTAGCTGGAAGACAAGCCAGAATAATGTTGAAAAGTCTTGTGCTGCATAGAATTGGAGTGGTCCTTCTGTGTGGCTCCATAGTCACAGCTGGACTGTCATCTGTTCCAAACACAGTAGGAAATTAAACCAAGGCATCTTTTCATTTTTCTGACTGGAAGTCATCTGACTCTTCATGCAAAGCAGAGGTTTCACACCCTTCTGTTCATACAACACCTTACACCACTTACCCGATGATGTCCTTGCAAAGTCATGTCAGATTTCACTGTGACCACTGATTAAAGTTTTTTTCCTTTCATTTTTTGTTCTATGCATACTCCTCAATGTGCTGGCTGAGTGATTGGTAAGGAACTGCCCTTACGAGCCCAGAAGATCTCTGCCAGACTTTCGTTTCTCTAAAATTTAGTGGCTTCCTCTATTACCACTGCCCAAGGAAAGCAACTCAGGGTTGGAAAACCCTCTCTGAGTTGTCATTCTGACCTTACATCACATTTCACCTCTTAGTCTCCCTTTCCTATAAAGCAACAGAAATAATCCCTTTGGTTCCTCCTTCACAATGCTGGGGGGGGAGGGTGTGAAGTAAGGGGTTTAAGTGATTAAAGTTTGCAAACGCATTGTACCAGTGTTATGTAATTACTAAATATTGCTATTTGTGCTACCACTACCTACAAACTAGATGTCCTGATAATCAGGCTTCATGAATTTTCAACTGACCCTTACTAACACACTGTAAGACTAACATTTTTCCCTACCACAAAAGAAAACCCACCACTCTTCTACAGATCATGGAGTGTGTAGTTATCTACTGCTTGTGACCACCATACCTCTGTGATATAGAGGATATTTCCAATGATTGTTAGGGATAAAGTTGGCACAAAAACTGCTACTTTGTTTTATAAGAAAAAAAATCTGGCACAGGGAAGTTCTGAAAATCTCAAAATGTTCTGTCATTTCTGTTCTGACATTTTTCTAAACAAAATACTCTATCCTGCCCGTTTCCAGCACTTTTTGGAAGTGCTATTGTTTGAGAGAACTGGAAAAAACGTTTGTACCATCCAAAATATGACACAAGGAAGACCCGTTGGCCTCCATTACATATTCCTGTCTTCATGCAATCTGCAATGGGGAAATGTATATTACTGATCCCTCTTTCCACTCACAAAATTTCTCACACACGTTAGCTGCTGAGTCTTCCGAAGAAAGGGAAGGAAGAGGAAACTAACACCCAGTAGTGTTAGACATCTAGAGAGGCAGATGTCCAGTTAGATAATGAGCTGATGGGTACAACTTCAGGTGAATTAGAGTGTACGTTCAAAATTATTAAAATAGTGGTACCCTGACTGACAAAATACATCAGTTTCGTATTTCCCTTTAGAATTTCAATTTGGTAACCCCATGTAGGATGGAAAAAG